GGTACCACACGACTCCATCGGCCAAAGCCTCAATTCAACAGTTCTTATATATAAAACTGAACATATCCTAAATGCGCTCTCTGGCGAGGTTGAGTCCCGGGAATCGAGTGTTCATCGAAATTGTTTAATCTGCTGAAACGGCGTCACTACCGATAGTTAGCGCACTGTGAGTGGTAACCCTATGTTACATGACACGTACTATTGTGTCAAGGTTATACAGAAGTTCTCGCTGATTCTAAGAATAAATGACTCAACAATTTTCCTACTAAATCAGGTTGCTCAATACTAGCGCCCTCGTGAGTTGAACTTTAGTATTGAGTTTAGACTCGTATTTCAAGTGCGTTTGACGACCAGTGACAACAAATGTTTACTTTATCACGGTCAAACTATTATTCCAAGGTTGAACCACATTATTTTAAAATAAAAATCCAATTTTACCTCGCGCATAGTCATAAACAAACAAAACGTGTCAGTATGATACGAAATAAAAGACCCATTGTTTTCAGATTGCTCTCACTTAGTGTCCAGCAGGATCTCTGTCATTACATTTTCAACTATTCTATTTTTTCGTTCTTTGTACTTGAATACCACACACACGGTGCTATTTATTTATATTGTGTGACCAAAAATAATTTTGAAAAATATAAATCCGAAACTAATGTGAGGGCGGGCAGGGGTAAAGGTTACAGGAAATAAAAACGGCATTTTAAATTTTTGCAGGAAATAAAATAATATTTCCATTTACAGTAAAAAAATGTTGTTTTTTTGTTTGTTTTTTACACTTTACAGGTAAAGCAAATTCCTAATTACATTTCACATTTTTATAATATATTTGATAATTTGTGTTTAAGAAACAAAATTCGAAATTGTTATGAATTATGACATTTAATTTGCAAAATGCTTTCCACTCTTACAAAAAATAAGATCTATTTACAAATTACGGACGAATAAAATAGTTGATCACATTTTACACCTTGCCCATGTCTACAAATTTATCTTTTTACTAATTACATTTTTACGAAAATAAAAACAATTGATTACAGCTTACGAAAATATCCCTTGTCTATCCTCGAACGGTGCAATAAACGTCAAGTAGACGACTATACCATCATGATATACACTCTCATGTAAAAATGATAATCTTAGCACAATAGAATTCGTATGGACTTATATATCAATATTACCTTGCACGCGAATCGCCGACTCACAAATTCAGTGATATCACCA